TATGTTTATTAAATAAAGTCTAATGTTACAACTAATCGGAGATCCCTTTAAAACTGTTTTGCTAGTTTTCATACAGAGAAAGTTCAAACGGAGCTGATTGTTGAGTAATAACAGGCGAGGCGCAGCAGCAGGTACTTYGGGCCACAGAGACTTTATTATCAGATATTTCAGGTGTTAGACGGGTCCAACAGGTGCAGACAGGAAATAGAAAATCCTTCACATGTTGGAAGACTGAAGTCTAATTGAGCGGCGCTAATCGTCCCGCAGCTTCAGGACGGACTGATTACAGTGAGGAGGGGGGCGGGGCTGGGTGAGGAGGGGGAGGGAGAAGTGAGGAAGAGGACGGTGGTGTCGGGTTACAGTGAGACAGTTCACTTCTGCTCGGGCATCATGTCGTCGATGCCGTCTCCGCCCTCCAGGCGCTTCTCCATGTTGACCAGCAGGTTGACTCCGTCCACCACCATCTGGACCAGCTCCACCTCCGAGAACCCCAGCCGGTCTGCGTTGGAGATGTCGAAGACTCCGCCCACCGCCGCGGTGTCCACGCCGCCTGAGAGAGACGGACAGGAAGTGGTGTGAAGTGCCGCAGGGTGCAGTGGGCTTTTACCTGCGTGGCGGTCAGCATACCTGTTCCTCTCTTCTGCAGCCGCAGCCGCTTCAGGATCTCCCCGAACTTCTCGTGCTTGCTGAGGTGCGGCAGTTTGACGTGCACGCCGGCTCGCAGGCCCGTCCCCAGGTTGGACGGGCAGGTGAGGACGTAGCCCAGGTGTTCGTTCCACATGAACTCATGTCCCCTGTCCTTGAACAAGTCTTCAATCTGCAGGAARAAGACACGGGTGACGGTCTCAGTTTTTCTCATTTTACAGAGTTCTGAATGTTTAAAGCAGATCTGCTACAAACCTTCTCACAGAGTGATTGTGGATATTTTCAACATGTCTCTAGCTGTAACTCCGGTGATAATTATTACTATAAACTGGTCCAAATCCGCCCSTCTTCATTTCTAAACTCAGAAATGTGGGATGGCTGCAAAGGTGGGTACAAAACAAGCTGTGGTCCGCATTTTAGCTTATAATATTTTAAGTATTTTGAAGTGTATTTGTTATTTTGTAATTATGTAGTTTTGCATTTAATATTTTTTACATTTAATATTTTAGGGTGACTTTTGCCACCTGCAGGTGAAAAAATAGCCTTCTGGCTGATTCTGGCATATTTACAGAAATGTTATTAATATGCACTGTCCCCATAATAAATAAGTTTGAAAGAAAAATAATAATAAAACAATTAGAATACAGAAAATGGGCAGGGATTAAAAAGAAAAACTGGTCACTCAAATTACGGTCAAAATAGATCAAAAACTCAGAGTTCAGTGAGACCGCCAAAAAACGACATATTTTCCCACATTTTGAGTACCCAACTAGTCTTCCAACATCCTTAGCAGCTCAGTGAAACTCCACCTTTACTCCCGCAACTCAAAAACTGCATTCTTGGTTATTTATGATGTTTTATCCCCCCCCCCCCACGTTCATGATTCAATCTGCTGGAGTGCTCTTTACACATTAAAACGGGCAGATTTGTACAGAAGAGGATTAGGGCCACAGAGCTAAGAGATGTTTTATCCTGGGTTTGGACTTTTATCTCAGAATTGTGACGGGGGAAAAATCAGAATTCAGACTTTTTCCTAATTCTGAGAAAAGTCAATTCTGGAAAAAAAATGTCAGAAATCTGAGAAGAGAAGACAAGTCTGAGATTAAAGTCTGTATTTTGAGATTCTAATTATCAGAAAAGCCAATTCTGAGGGAAAAAAAATCAGAATTCTGAGAAATAAAAGTCAAGATTTTGAGGTTTAACATCAGAATTCTGGTTTTATTTTTTTCTAATTCTGAGAAAAAAAGTCTCTAATCTTCCGTAGATTTGAACAAGTCTTAAAATAATAATTTCTCATCAGTGTGGGTGTCAGACTTGGACGTTTGTCTCAGATCAGGATRCAGGTGTCAGGATGTGTCTCCAGAGATCTGGAGATGCGTTTTGAGACGTCCACAAAGATTTTGTGCAACTTTTCTTTTGAAATCGTCACAGATTGCTTTGGAGACGTTTAAAACCTCCAGCAGGAGGACTGTGACCCTCAGGGGGTCTGGCTGAAGCAGAGCAGACGACAGGAAGTGAGGCTCACCTTAGTGAGTCCGGTGCAGAAGCGGGTGAACACCTCCCTCATGTTGCCTCCTTTCTGCATGCTGATGACACGCAGGTGGTCCTCCTCGTTCACCCACACCAGGAAGGTCTTGTTGTCGTTGTGCCTGCAGGGGAACGACAGCGAGGGGTTAACAACAGGAAGTCCCGATCGTCCCAGAACCCCCCAGTCTGCAGCGCACTGACCAGATGCCACGAGCGTCGGGCCAGTCGCGGGCCATCCCAGAGGCCAGCAGCAGCGGAGAGACGGGCTTATCGAACAGGAAGTGGTCATCTATCAGCTGCTGCTGCTCCTCCTCCGTCATGTTCTTTAAGGCGTAGTACCTCCCCTTCAGGTCCCCTTCCAGAGAGTCCAGAGCTGCAGGGGACGGGGGACAGAAACCCAGGGTCAGGACTGACGGGGGACACGTGAAGAAAACCCTGACTGCACGGGCCACCGGGAAACTCTGGTATYAGTACCAGCCTCAGTTTCTCAGGTTTGCACCTAATTTTATTTTGAAGTTTTGACCAAACTGGCCGTCGTTTCTCAGCATGAGATGATCTGAAATTCTTGCATAGACTGGGMCGGGTGATGTGCATTCCTTCAGCTGATGCTCGCTCTTTAAATTTGTGCAAGAATTTAAACTTTAAGCAGCTAAAACCACCGCAGGAAGCTGCTGGAAGAAATGTTTTTTTTTTWAATCAAATAAAGCACCTTCACGCTGTGAAACCTGATTTCTGCCAGCAGGGGGCAGTGGAGACCCCCCTCCCTGCCAATGCTGGGCTGCACCGCTTCGGTCCGGCTCCATTCCAATACGAAAGCTGTGATTTCGGACAAACCGAGCCGTCGGGCTCATTAGGAGTCTCAGCAGGACGGAGCTCGGCTCAGTTACG